CGATATACTAATACTCATTTGAGTACTTCTATGGTAATTTATTTCTATATATATATATATATATATATATAAATACTGATTTCAGTACTTCTATGGTAACTTATATCTATATATTTAAATAGATATATATATACTCATTTGAATACCACTATGGTAACCTTTATCTATAGCTATATTTATATGTTTATATTAACTCATTTGAATAATTTTGTAGTAACTTATATATATATATATATATATATATATTTATATATATATATATATATTTTTCTCATTTGAAAACTTCTATGGTAACTTATATCTATTAATATATATACTCATTTGAATACTTCTTTGGTAATTTAATCCTATATGTATATATATTTGAATACTTCTCTGGTTACTTGTATCTTTATATATACTCCTTTGAATACATCTATAGTAATTCATATATATATATATATATATATATATATTTTCAATTGAATACTTCTTTGGTAATTTATATTTATTTATATATATGTATATATATATATATATATATATATATATTGATTTGAATACTTTTTAATTACTTATATCTATAAATATATATACTCATTTGAATACTTTTATGGTAGTTTATATCGGTAAATATATATATATATATATATATATATATATATAGATACACTTATCGGAATGCTTCTAATGTAATTTGTATCTATATATGTACTCATTGGATTATATCTATAGTAACTAATATCTATATATATATATATATATATATAGATATTGTCATTCGTATACTTCTTTCGTTATTTCTATCTATCTATCTATCTATATATATATATATATATATATATATTTATTTGAATACTTCTATGGTAACTTTTATATATATATATAGATATATATATGTTCTCATTTAAATACTTCTTTGGTAATTTATATTTATATATTTATATATATATATATATATATATATATTTGTATATATATTTATATATATATATATATATATATATATATATATTTGTATATATATTTTTATATATATATATATATATATATATATTTGTATATATATTTTTATATATATATATATATATATATATATTTGTATATATATTTTTATATATATATATATATATATTTGTATATATATTTGTATATATATTTATATATATATTTATATATATACTCACTTATTTGAATACTTCTATCGTAACTCATATCTATATATATACTAATTTGAATACGTCTATAGGTTCTTATCTATATATATATATATATATATATATATATATATGTATATATTGTCGTTTGGATACTTCTGTGGTATTATATATATATATATATATATATATATGCTTATATACTTATTAGAGTACTTCTATGCTAACTTATATCTATATATATATATATATATATATATAGATATATATAGATATATATATTCATTTGAATTCGTCTACGGTAACTTATATCTTTATATACAAATAGATATATATTTACTCATTTGATTAATTCTTTGGAAATATATATATATATATATATATATATATATATACTGATTCGAATACTTCTATAGTAAGCTATATCTATGTCACATATATTTATTTGTAAACTCATTTGAATACTTCTATGGTAACTTATATCTATATCTTTATATATATGTATATATACGCATTTGAATACTACTATGGTAATTTATTTCTATATATTTATAAATTTATATATTTGTATTTATATATATATATAGAAATAATTCGTGCTAACTTGTCCGAACCAGGCTGCCCGCACAAACGGGCCGCGACTCCAAAACTTCGGCGGCCCGTAACCGAAAACGGCTTTGTCTCCTCGCGGGGACACAAGCAAGCAGCGCCTGCTTCGAACTAGAAGAATAATGCCGTTCCACCGATCTCTCCCAACACCGCTTTCTCTTGCCTCTCTAAATCCTTCGATTCCTTCGATTCCCCTCCCCATTGCAGTTCCATCTTCTTCTTTCATGCCTCCCTTGATACGGATCACCCACACTCACCCACAGCCTCTGCCGGAAGGGAGGGGTGGCTCACACCATGATCATGGCTTTTTCGTTGCGCTTCTTCACCTTTGGCGTCGATTACTGTCTTTTTCTGATTGAATCTAATGCGGTTGGGCGTATCGGTCGTAGTGGGTAGTTTGAAAGTGGTAAAACCCGCTCTTCGATCACGAGGATAAGACTTGGATTTGTTTGAGGAAGCGTGAAGAGTGGAAGTCACCGTTAGGGTGTGTGGTAAATGATGGGGGGGTTGTGTGACCAGATGGGGTGAGAGTTCATGGTGTGTCGGGTGTCTGATTCGGTGGTGTAGTGTGGTGTGAGAGTGAAGGCGATTAGCAAGCAGTTTGGAATGGCGGGCCCGACGATAGGGTTGCCCAAGCGGCCATATCTGGATCCTAGGTTTAACAACAAGGGGAATAAGCTGCGGCCGAAGTATGAGAGCCCCGTGGACATGTTGGAGAACTTGGAGAATGATCCGCTGTTCCGAGAGCAGACACGCAAAGCGCCCAAGCAGACGCGCCTCCGACCTCCCATGCAGAACTTGATTTACGACCCTCGCGTCCACCGCGGCAACCTCTTCCGCAGGCCCAGGGTCGAAGACGATGGCCCCAAGCCTCCTCCCCGGGTTATAAAAAGGCTTCAGCTGAGCTGCACTCCGGAACCGCTGGTCGGCAGGCAGCACATGGATATTCAGGTCAGAGTTCATCAGAGCCAAAAAAAACAAAACAAAACAAAGGAAGGATTCCACTTTCTATTAGCTGAATGTTAACTCTATCGAATTTATGATGTTCTGAACGGTACCAGGGAAGTCATCTTATAATGAACATTATTCGTCAATGATTTGATGATAATTTGATGACAGACAGACATGTTTCTGGAGGATCGAGGTAAGGAGATGACCTACAATGACTTCGACACTCAAACCGACGAGTTCCTCGACCGCCCACAAACGCCCTTTTTCATTCCTTGGAAGTCAGGTCCCGATGCCTTCACGCAGGTCATTTACCGACACATCATTGGCGTTTTTGTTGAGCAAAATTAGTGCTTTTTATGCCCTCCCCAGCTCACATGGTGTTCGCATTCTCATTGAGTGGTCAATTCCTGCGCCAAGTAACGAATTCTGTGGATTGTGAGTGACAGATCTTCCCAGGCGACTTGTTCGATTTTGATATGGAGGTGGAGCCTCTATGTGAGGTCCTCGCTGGGCGTGCTCTGGAGCAAGGGCTCATGGAAGTGCAAGAAGAGAAGCAACTGGAGCACCTGCGTTGTCACCAGGATCTCTTCGAGCAAATGCGTGTTGCGGAGCTGACTGCCACGCAACGAATGGAGGCTGCGGAAAGACGGTTGATGGAGGAGAAGGAGCTTCGCCTGAAACAAGAGAAGGCTCGACTCAAGGAGGAAGAGATTCTGCGCCTCAGGGTAATTTTTATCAAAACTAGTTCGACATCCCAGGATAAGCCAAACATCCGAGTTTGATTTTCTTTCTCTTCAACAATTTAAAGGTTCGCTTACCCATATGTCGACTGTTACTTTACAGACGGAAGCAATGGGCTACGCCATGCGAATTCTGAAGGGCGTCACGGATAAGGTATACGACAAGCTCACCAGGGATGGATATTTCTACGACCCAGTGGAACGAGAGCTGGAGGAAAAGTACATTCCGGTGTTGCTCAGGCAAATGCAGAACGACGTTACCGACATGGTCCGGTCCCGACATGCAGTTGCGATCATGGTAAGGCTTCCATCTCAAATGGCACTTTCCTCAACTTTGATAGTTTGCGGGCAATTCTTCTCGACGCCGCTCACACTCCATGAGCATAATAATGCTGGTTTGTGTGTTGTCCAGGCTGACGAAGCCACTCCTGCGCTGGACACTGCCGAGAGAGCAGTAGATAGTATCGATCTGATCATGAGCAGATTAATGAACGTGCTCGACTCGTGGATCTCGTTCGAGGATAACGTGATGGTGGAATTGGCCGCGGCGGAGCAAGCATCGCAAAGAGTGATGACGGGGGTAGCGGGCGAGGTGGAATTGGTGCAACATACATCCACGGATGTTACTGCAGCTCTCCTCGATATGGTTACTCCACTTAGCCCTATCGCCCCTTCTTTCCGTTCGGAGCAAATCTTCAATTTAGGTTCTTAGAGCAGAGGGTTTGATGTTTCCTGTACGTTTCGGCGTGACTGAAGACATGGAACATACTTTCTATTCTAGAATCCACTGATATGAATCGACTAAGAGTTCTTGAATCGCTAGAAGGATAGTTCGGAGGAGCACAAATTCAAACAAGAAATCTGCTTTTCGTCGGAAGATCTGTGTATATGTGTGTGTGTCTGTGGTTATTGTTGTGTTTTTTATTTGTTCACATGACTGAATGGAACCCAAATGGCAGACGGAGGTGACCCATGTGCAAAATGCTGAAGGAGCTCGAAGCTTGGTGGAGATGCTCCTGGAAGGCCTGGATCCACAGTGACTTGGCGGCGATTTGCATTGAGAGTGTTACCCAATTACACAAACAATAGATCATCAATTGACTTTTCTCTTCCTCGTGTTTTATGCTTTTGGATTTGGACCATCCGTTTTGTGTAATACTGGATTCCTTTGTCAACGCTAAATTGCAAACTCATCAGATTCTGTTGATTTGTAGTCAAAAGATTTGTTGAATGACAAATCGTGGCTCACGTAGTAATGCCGCACAAGATTGGATTTTGATTTTGATATCTGGTGGAACTCAGTGGAATGAAAAACATCAAAAATCTCATTTAATTCTGTTTCGTGTTGCAACAGTTTTATGTTTACTTTCTACTATTGCCTATATCTACTTTGTCATATTCTTCCGGTCTGTAGAAACTACAAAGATCCACATTTATCATGATTTTGCGTAGTTCATATATTACTTTTCAACGTAACTTTTTTCCTGTTTTTCGTAAGTTTGACATACATATGTTATTCCATTAGATGATTGAATATCCGATATTTAACTTTATACATTTATGAAAACCAAAGATTATGTTGATGGTTTTAGTTTTTTCAACAAGAAGTTATCAACTTGCATTTAAGCCTCGTTTAATTCCATAAAATCCACGACGTAAATTTTACAAAAATTACTGTTCTGCAAAAACGCTTCTCTAAGATACCGTTCAATGTTACATGGTAACCACAGCTTGAATTTCCCCTCATATTGCCCCAGTAGTGACTACAGAAGCTTGCTCACGAGATAAACCCCTCAACCATTGTTTTAACACCTTTTTTAAGAAAGAAAGAAAGGAAATGGGGCCTGCAATCTTTTGTGTAATATAAACGTCAGAATCTGAGAATGTTTGTATAGGCTTCTTCTTCCATAACCACCACCTTTGCCCACATAACTCACGCCTGCTGAAGTATATGTATTTTGTCATGCCGCAGACACAGAGCAAGGACTGTATATTGGGTGAAAATTAGTGAAGAGGAGGTGTAATTGTGGGATAGTGCAGTGAAATGAAGCTCCAACAGTTACCAGCCTGCAACCGTTTTGTGAAGCATTCCGTTTGTCCTTCTGTTTCCAGGCTCTCGAGTCCGTCATGTCTCCCTCAACTTACTCATCATCATCAGATGCCCATCTCAACGAGAAGCATTCAACAAACAAACCAGAGTTCTGTAGACAATTTTTCCTTCAGTTTGGGTTTGTTTGCTCGATTCCTGTTCTCACCGAGTCCGTTGCCACCCATCATGCTTCGGAGTACACTTGGGTCACGTGGATTTCTTGTGGTGACGCAAGGGAAATTGGGTGATGTCGATATGTGTCAGTAATGCTCCTTAGAGGGCTCGCCAACTATGCAAATTGTTGTTGCAGTGGGCGAGGAAGAACAAGAGGTGGCGAGCATTCTGTTAGTGTTGATGTTTTTGGAAACGCAGCTGATATTGTATTGAGTTTTGTGGGGAGAAGGGTATGGACATATGGGCTCGGTGATGATGCGCGGTGGAGCTGATGATGTATTCATGTTGGGGTGAGGCATTGCTGCGACCATGGATGTACCGCAAGACGAGCTCCCACTTCTCTACACTTGGGTATGTCTGTATTCTCTCTCACCGTTGATTACTCGCTTGATTATGCACAGTTCTTGCCGACGCAGAATGCTTTGTCATTTATGTGGATATTGTCACTTGTTGATAGTCCTTGGTAGGCCTCCTTGGGCCTTACCCTAAGGCGAAGAGAGCAGCGCATGCCCTAATTCGTCAACAGTTCATATGTAGGGGCATGCCTGGGGAAGTACTTGGAGAACCCGTGTTGGACCCTATGATTTCACTCGCTGGTCTAAAACTTGAGAGTTGATTAGGTCATTAAAGCTTCTGTGCTGATTCGAAATGATCCCATTTACCTTCTTTGATCTCTCAAATGATTCGCATTTGTAAATTGTCGTCAGTAATGCAGGGTGTGTTAGTGTTTGTCCAGTTCGACACGGGTACGGTATTCTGTGGATAAATAAGAATGTCAATGTGAGAGTGGAACATGTTATGAGCTGGCCCTTTGTTGCACACATCACATTGAACCAGGTGACAGACATTTCAGGTGTTAGTAAGGCAAGATGACGTGGGTTGAAATCTTGTTTTTATTTGGGTAGACTCTATATTGTATGTCTAATTGCATCTAGTCTTTTTCTTATCCTGCTGAACACCGTGTGACCACGTGAAGAGGTTGCGAATATATTGCACAAATATGAAATCATGCCTATTAAGCTGCATGCAAGGACGGCAGTTCTATCTGTGAGACTGGCTCCTCTCGATGCACTTGATAATATTTGTAATCGCTATGTGGCAGATTGATGGAATCCCACTTTCAAGACCTAAACGAAACATATCACGAGACTTCAGCGATGCAGGTAACCAATTTTCAAGAGTAGATCAACTGTGAATTTGTAGCAGTCGCTTGCTTGTGAAGCGAATCAATTGGGTTAAGGGCCATCCAAAGAATGAAATGAAATGGCTCCTGAACTTCTCATCGATGTGTCGTGGAGATTATGAGCAGTTCTTGCAGCGGAGGTGGTGGCGCATTACTGTCCACGCCTGGTGGATGTTCATAACTACAGTGCTGCTAATGGTCTCGCTCAGAAGATCTACAATTGGAGCACTCTCAACAGTACGTGTGATAATTCCTTGCGTCTTGCTCTCTTCAAGGAGCTTGACTCTTCTTTTTAACAGCGCTAACTAATATTGCAAAGAACCAGTAGTCACTAACCCAGCGAGCTTGTAAGTTACCTGCACTTGTTGGTATGTACAGACAAGGTCTTCAGGCGTCTCCATTTCACATTGACAAAGGAAGACATTGAGGCGGTGGCCAGCTGTGAGCCACAGATGATTGAACGAATTCTTAAGCTTCTGAAGTACAAGGTACTGGAGCTTCTTTTTCCTTCTTAACCACAGACACGGAAAAGAACACACATGAACCCACCTTTACAAGTTTTTAAAGAACTTGCTACACTTGCGCTTAGTTTTGATCTCTATCACTACATACGAACATTCATTGCAATTAGATTGTTGGACGAAATGTGTGTGTAATGCTCACCTCTGGCAAGGTTTTTATGTCTTAATTCCTCTAAGCTCACCTTTCACCAGGCTTCACGATTGCAATGCTGATGAACTCAGCAGTAGCTGACTTCACGCAGTAAAGGGGTTGTAACGGCATGTGATCAAGAACCTTAAAAATGTTTCAGAGAACAATTAATTATCTTGTGATTTATAATATCACGAAAAATTGCAGATAGCAAAATATCGACCCAATGGCTTGAATGGAGACTCTGATCCCGTTAAAGAACCTTCAGATGGTGGACACTGCCATGAGTTTCATGACCATCGCAGTACACGACACCCTAATCCTCAACGAGAATTATTTCCAAGTAAATATCAGTGAGGCCCTTCGCGTACGTCCATTAATAGACCATAACGAACATCTTCCTGTATATGCTATGTGCTCCTCCAACTTTTGGCATGCACGGAACCTAATTATAATGTAAAATCTCGTCTACTTAATGACGTGTCTGTCCATGACATTCCATTCTGGATAGAGAGAGCATGGTCAGTCAATGCTGTTGGTACACAATAACTTGCAGTCTATTGAACTAGTGAAATGTATCATAGAGGTTTATTGTGAGACTTGGTTCAATAGGGAAGTATCAAATGAAAGAGCGAGCCTCTATTTTTACTCACACCAAACTTAATGTAATGATGTTACAAACAAACTCTATGAAACACAAGATCGTGACACGTACAAGCATGTGGGTTGTACAGGATTTGGTCAGACTCAGCAGTCGCAAGTGAAGGATGTTGTAAGTCAAGGGCAAGAGTATCTACCTGAGCCAGAATGCACAAAAAGAAACATGTATATCACTACTCCAGGCCACTAGGTACAAATACAAATTAACTTCCTGCATCACATGTGCTAGGTAGTAATGCAACCAACTAAACAATTAATGCAGGTGGGTTGGCAGGCGAGGTTCGCAAGAGCAGTATTCAACCTCAAGGACATCGGTGAGCAAGACTGTTATCGTCTGTCCTGCAATCCTACATATTGTAAATGCAGTTGTCTAAAAAAAATTTAATGACTATGGAATGAATTATGTTGCACAGTTTGTCAACGGTATTGTGACATTTTTTTACTTTTGAATCTATGTAGAGCCCTCACCGAGGGTGCAATTCGCAAGAACTGGGTTTGATGAATGCAAAGCTGGAGGAAAAGAATATATACATTCGGGAACTTGGTGAAACTATTGAGGTGAATAATCCAGACCATATCAAACGAAGCTCATGTGGTCTCAGCAACATCCCGCCTGTGTTACTACCTTTCACAACCAAGTTCTTCCTTTACTTGACTTGCAGCTTTTGGAGGCGAAAGTGAGAAAGCTAGAACAGTTGCTGCGACTGAAGGAGCACAAAATCCAAGTGCTCAGTGGCAAGATACCCAAACAAAATGGTCGTAGCTAATGAACTAGCCGTCCAGGCTATGTTCACGCAGTTGTAACATCTGTGAGATACAACTCACTCAATGCGAAGGAGCATTTTGAATTGGATATCGACTTAGAGTCATATTGGGATCGACTCACGCTGGCAGCTGCAGTTGTGGATCGACAATCAGGGTTATTGGATATGTGTGCCTGTCTATCGAAGTAGGGCACTGCACTACTTTACTTGATCTCTGGTAAATCTAACCCGGTTGAAGAAGGGAACCCAACTTAGGAACCCCCGCAGACTCTGCAAATCGTAAATTTCTACGTTGAAGCCATTCTGATGGCATCCTGTACAAAAACAAGGCTCTCATACACTTAATCTAACAATGATCTCCTGAAACTTACTTTATTTTTACCAAGCTTAGAATATCAATTTTGTATGTCTTTGTAGATTCACCTGCACATATTGTGAGCTAACTCATTTCGTGATGATGTCTGTTGCCTTAGTTTAATAGCCTCTACAAATGAAGTCCAACGTGCAAATCTGTTTCGATGTGCAACTTGGCGTCTGTACAATTAGTCATACGTGAGGTTTCAAATTTGAGCTAAATCCTTGAGAAAGGTTTCGCCGGGACGTTCAACTGGAAGCATATTGTTAGTTAAGCCTATAACTTAGGAACACTGTTGGGTCCTATTGTTTCCAGATTAGGCTACCTGACCACGAAATTCGCAAGAATGATTGCTTATTGAAATAGAACCACAAGATATGACATGGACAGGACCAACGGCAATCAGCACTAACCTTAAACAGCAGAACTTTAAATTATAAATAGATTTTTTTTTATTAAATAGTCATAATGCGTGCAACAATCAAAATCTATCTTGCCATACACGTGAGTGAATATTCCATTGCGATCTTTGAACTCTGCCTAAAGCATTCGCAAAGACTCAAATATAATCCTGTCAGATTCTTTGCAGATCACAGATCTCACGGAAATTGGAAAGTAATAGTATACAATTTTAGTTTGCATGAACGGATGCTGCGGTAAGATGGAAATTGGGATGCAAGCAGAACAAATACAACATGTTTGATATGAACATCGATTGATCCAAAGCTCAGTGGCTGCCACCAACCCAACAAGAAGTCTTAAAATCAAACACTTTGCAAGTATTGACAACCAACGAACTTGTCAGGAGATTTCAGATGTGATTCCCAGCTAACAATGAATTTTCAGCTCATGGGCAAACATGAAGGCCTTCATCCACTTACACACCATCCAGATTGAACTAGATTGCACACCAATTCATTTAGATCTATCTACTTTACCTTTGGGGTTAATATGGAAAACAACCTCCAGTGTAATCAATGCACAAACAAAAAAAAACAACCACCACGAGAACTGTACTCAGTTCCAGGTTTAATTTTGAGCTACCGCCTGATTATGAATTTGATGGAATGCTCCATGCAAAGCTTGTGTCGATGAAAACATGATATCAACTGCAACATCAGTGATACATGACTCAGCATAGCTATTTCTATGCCAATCCCAAATTAGATAATAATGAATGCACTCTTGATTAATACAGTAACTATTCAATTCATTGAATTTGTTTACAAAAAGGATACTTAGTGATTCCGTAAAACCAGATAAGTAACCGGCCTGTATGAGAGGACATCTCACCCCAATCAGCAATTCAGCATGAAATCTCTTTCAATTGCAGCACATGACTGGACAAAAGGAACATAATATTCCGGTTGTAAATTCGAACCTTTTCATCGAAATAGAAGAGATATTGATCAAAGTGAGGCGATTCGCTTGAGGGTTGGGAGCTGTGGGGCATAGAGATCAACGTCATTTTCACCATCTGCACAGAGCAGAGATGATTATAAATTCGCCAGGCTTGAAGTTTATCTCTGAGTTTTCTACAGGGAGATGTATATTTAACATGCTAAACGAAAGAAACAGAGTCAAAACTGTTGTGATGGAATATGTTTGCAGAATGGAACTAACTTTGATGATCATGTGGGCTGCTTTCTACTTTTGCAATTGATCAAGATAAAAGAGAGTTGTTCAAATAGCTTAAAACAATGTTCATGCACAAGGGGTACTGTAGAACCTATCTAGAAGCAATCGCAGTATCACTCCATATATCACAGCAACTCTTTCGAATTTTTCTACTGTGCTGTTCTAAATTGATATCGTTATCACAGGAAATCAATCCAAGTATCCGAACTAGACCAAAAGAGAGATAATTCACGAGCAAATCTTTAGTTTCCATATTCCAGACTGTCGTGAATGGTGTTTGATCACAAACATCTAAATTACGCAAATACTTTAATAACTAAAATGGAATTAAAGATATTGAATATACGACACTGAAGCTCTTTTCTTAGCAATAAAGGGAAAACGAGTCGCTACTAAACGTAAAAAATAGATCCAATATTAAATGAGTGCTAGAACAATGCAAATTCCAGGATGTAATCCAGTTACAAGTTATGAGTGAATATGGGTAGCAGTTCTATCAATCAAAGCCACGGAAGTGAACTATGCTGAGAACTACCAACCAAATTATAGAAAACCTGATAAGTAAATAAAACAGGATCCAAAAATTAAACCTAAAATAACAACTCATATCACTAATGATGCATCTTGTAGCGTCTCTTCATCCAAGTTAGTTTGGAAGTGTGTAACCAGATCTTGGCAAACCAAACATAAAAACATACTTAATATAATTCATAGCATAAAATGTAGAACCCAATTGAAACGCTTCTTACAAAGACCAGCGTGTCAGAAGATTGTGTTCTAGGACCGAATTTAGTTTCAGATTACACAAGTACTTTCCACCTAATCAGATTCAGGAATTGCTGGAAGTCAATTGTGTAACCATTAGCATCCAGACAAAACACTGACCAAACTTAAACAAAGTTCATAAAAGCAAAAACTTGTATCATATTGATTTTCTCTTCACAAAAAAAAACAAAAAAACAACTTTGCGGTTGCAGCCCAGGAAAATTCGAGTTTTACTATGGTAACAGAATCAATGAAAATAACTGTCACATCAATAGCTAACTCATATCAATAGTTATCTGGCTTTAAATGGATATTGCTATAGACGCCAACGAAACTCGGGAAAAGTAGCAATTGTATAGCAAAACAAGCACTTCAACGCAAGGTTCACAGCTATTAGAGGGGCTTTCAGTGGGTTTGCATGGAGGTGCCTGCCTCATCAGAAGGGCTATGTTGTTGTGAGCAAGAAAGGTTTCGTCATCCCGGAGGACAGATCGAGCTGTAGTGACTTCGGCAGCTAATGGGACGATCAAAGAAGTTACTTTCGCAATGCAAGGGATCCTGCAGCATCGCTCTGAGTTACAGGAGCAAGAGCAACGTTGTGTTGATGTAGGGTGGTTGAAGCTGCAAAGATTATGTACAAATCGTTCGTAATGGACAAGAAAAAATCCACGCATTCGCCCTCGTTGAAACTCGTGACCGGGGAATCCGACGGTGCAAGCTGCAATAGCACTCAAACTTGTTGACTAACGCAGGAAGCTCATCGCTGTGTTCGGAGGTTTTTGAGTGATAGGAAAAACGCAGTGGTCAATGGATACTTGCTATTCTGTGAACATCAATTGGAACAGACCAAGTCCTACGCAACCTTTATGAAGCACCGCCACCACTGATGGAGGCAGTCCAAATAGTAGACTTTGTGGCTCAGCATTGCATTCTCGTTAAATCCTCGTGCACTATCCATGAGGCTGAAAATGTGGCAAAATGTAGTGACGATTCAGCGCTACCGCATCAAATTGGATACTAAAAATATCCAAATTTGTAACAACAGATACTAAGTGCATCAGTGCTAAAGACAACGACCATGACAGTGAAAATTTCCTTCAAGCCTTGGAGAGAGAGACACACACACACACACACAAAAAAAAACAAACTTCGTTTTTCCCAACTTTTGCACATCCTTTGTAATAAAAATCGCTAAATACAATTGCAAATCTGTACAACTCACACCCTGAACAATATTTCAAACTATGTCATAAAGATCTCCCGCAAAATTCAGTACACTAATTAATGGCTACTCTTCAGCGTTAACGCACTAAGATACACTGTTCTAAAAAGAAAAAAACCCTGATAATACATTTGGAGAGAATACCGCTTATATAGCTTTAAAAAAGTTGGTATTATACTATTCACAACTCCTCCCAAATGAGACGCTAGCCAGAAGAGACAAAGGCATCGCTCAAAATGAAATGATAACTGAGTGAGCCTCTCTAACACAATACTGCTTGTGAATTGTCATTACAATCTCTTATAGCCAAAGGTTATCTCCTTCCTATTTTTGGAACACAATCCACCAGTAACTTACCAATAACACTATTGAAATGAATTCACTACTGACCATCTTAGCTTCAATTAATTTTACACAGTAATCTTCACTAGTGCAAAGACGATTTTGGAAGCAAAAATGCAGGGAAGTGAAAAAGGAAAGGAGTGGTGAGCATTGAATGATCCAGGTGCTTATATGTGTATTGGAAGGGGCACACCAGTTTCTCTCAGGAGAAAAGTCTCTGAACAATGATATCGCTTTGCTTGCACATTCATAAACTAGCCCTGACAACACCACGGGAACCTACTGTCGCGAACACTTGATTTTGGTGCAGCGCCTGCGGCAATGCGCACCGCTACATACTCCCAACCGCCGCCTTCACAGTCCTCGGCGCCCATCTACAGCAACTTGCAAAACATCTGCAATGAGGATTGACGAGAGTCTGAGCACGAACAGCCAAAACAGACAAACGCCATAATTCGTTGTAGTCCTACTTGTGCCATGAACTGCCATGAACGTGGCAGAAAGCTCAAAAGTCAACATTCACAATCTCGCCATGCATCGCCCCACATGACCCCATTAAAATATATCTGTACGAGAATTTACGCAACAATAGAACAAGTTCCACAACAAGTGCTCATTGACACAAGAAATTGAAAAAAGGAAACGTTCGAGATTACATACTCTGTTCCCTGTGAAGAGAAAACCTCTTCCTGAAATTAGAAAACCATTATCTGGCAGCAGCAGCCTTCAACTGGCAAACTAGACAAAATACAGAAACGGGCTTCCACTCTGATGCTGTGACCTGTCTCCACTCCACCCACGTATAAATTCCAGAATATCAGCCACAAGCTGCAGATATTCTGTAGCAGTGAGTAATAGCTATTAGATGGTCTGGTAGCATGAACTACCCAACAAGAATCCAGGGAAAAACATGCATTACTTCCGGAGACGAGAGACTTGAAACCCATGACGATGAAATACCCCCAACAACAACAACTCACGAACAATGACTGAAAAAGCATTGCCCAGTCCCCCAGTGGCTCTGTCACCGAATCCTAACCATGTGTTCCGAGCTAATTGCGACAAAAACATCTGACTCAAATTGCTCTCCAAGCCACATACAATCTAACTGACACCAGATTCAACATGTGTGTGTACATGAATTACCCAACACAAAACCGGACATTGTGTGATTGATTCTTCAGCCAATGAAGCCGAATTCGACGCGCCACACGCTGCTCCAACTCTATCTCTCGCTCTCGTTTGAAGATGCTTCTGACTCCGGCACCACGCAAGGAACAATCACATCGGGCAAATATTTTCGAGATTCTTCTTCTTCTTCTTCTTCTGTTTCTTCTTCTTCACTGTGAAGATGCAAAATCCCTTTCTTTCTCGCTCTCTCTGTTGCTACTCCTCCGATTCCGACTCCGACTTCGAAGTTTCCCTGCCGTCCAATGATCGGCGACTCTGGGACAGTGATTCCGTCCGTTGGATGCAGATGGTGCTTGCTGCAGTGGCACCCCCTTTGGAGGGAGTCCTCGATACTTTCTTAACCCCATCTTTGCTTTTCCAGGGACGACCTACCTTTTACTTTCTCAAACTGTATTCAGGGCTTTATCTGAAAGAAATATGTTTTGTGGTTTATGGATGCTTCCCTGGCCTATTCCTTGTCACTAGATATATATATATATATATATTTACATACATGTCATGGTTCTTTTTGGTTTTTAAAATAAATATTTAAAAAACTCAAAAGATTGTTGAAAATCATTTACACTAATGCCTAATACTAAAATTTATCATTGATAACATTTTACCTTTCAACAAAATTTAGCTTAAAAAATAAGTTTATTCTTCAGAATACCATGGATTATTGAATCAAATAAAGGTTCTTTGAATGTGAAATATTACCATTAGTAATAAGATTATTGAGAATATATAACTGAAAAATAAACTTGTGTTAAAATCTTAAATATGAGAATTTTAGGATTAGAGTTTTTTTCAAAAAATAGAAAACAATGATCACATAACATTTATTTTATGCAAATTTCAAAGTTTAAGTACATACAAAATAAAATCGTGTTGAGTTAAAATGTTTGTTTTTTTAGTATCCATATAATCTAATAATTTTTCAACCAAATTACATTTATTTATTGATAATAATAGGATTTGTCAAGATCATCCATTATCATCATTTATCTACATCTCTGCATAATTTTGTAAAAAGATATCTTACATGATATAAAATTTAGACAAAAAATAGGCAATTATAAAATTTGAAAAATGAATAAAACTTCATTATTTTCTTCAATTACTTCTTTGGAATTTTGTTTTTAATATATCATAAAAAAAATTTAGCAAAATTTAAGAAGAATTAGTTTGTCATCAAAATTGCTGCAGTAAAAACTGAGAATTAAAGCAATAAATTGAATACTTTATGTTGCAATCTATCATGATATAGCTGTTCAATTTATTTTGATAAGGTTGATTATTGTAATTCAAGACAACGTTCAAAAACTTGCAGTAAGATCATTGATCAAAATAATAGCACAGTACACTATTTATAATATGTTTGAATATTAATTTCAACAAATTTTACAATGAAAGATTTCATATCACAAATGATTTATTCTAACATAATTATGATTTATTTTAACATACTATTTACTCTATCATAAAACATGTATAATTGCAGTCATAATAGCAATTCTTATTAGGCTTTAATTGTATCTATATATATATATAATCAAACTAAAATTGTATAGAACATAATTTGTGTCAAACCTTAACAGCATCAAAATGAAAAACTTCCAAGTATTTGTGTTTAACTCATTTTATTAACAAGTCAAACATTGTTTCTATTGTTAGTATTATATAACACATATAGGTATTTTAATTTAAGATATTATACCCATGCATCAAGCCAACCATATGTTTAATCAAAACTATAAATGTACGTAGTAGTACAAGTTAAATAACAAATTCAATTAAATTATCAATTATTATGAAATTTGATTCTCATGGTTGAAAATTTTGAAATTTATTTATAAGTTCATTTACTTCAAAACCTTGGCTATAAATAATATGTATGCTAAGGTTACAATAGTTTTTACTATTGCCACCACAACTTGCCACCATCTTGATACATTTTTTTTTTTATTTTCTTATTCCAATTAAATTTTTATTGCTAAATTACACAATGAAAGTGCTTTTCAACTAAAAAAATATTTATTGAAATAAATAAATAAATGATAAAACATATCAAATGGATGGAAAATTGTGGTGTCATAAACAATGCCCTAAATAATTCTATATCATTGCAATTGTTTTAGCACTATTCATAGAATTGAGTCCTTATATTTCTTCCATGTTGTAGATGCTCAAGAAGAAGCAACATGCTTTGAAAACTTTAGCTTAATTTCATTACATATTGTTGTACACAAAAAAAATACTTAAAACGGTTCTACATCACATTTTAAATATATATGTATATACACACACATACACACATATATATATATATATATATATATATATATTATGTATGATCATACATAAATATTTAATAATTATCATTTCATGGACACTCATAAAAGAAGTATACAGAGAAGTGTATATTCATATTTATGCACTCTAAAATAAATTAATCATAACATGTAATTAAAAAATATAATTCCACCTATCGAATAACATAAGTAGCAAAGCTAAAAGACATTAAAACTATTCTTTGGTAAAAAATCCACCAGAGAAGTGGAGAGGAAAGTAGAGGGCACGGAAATCGGAGAGGAGGAGGGGGGAACCGTGGCATCGTGAGGTGGGTCGATGATGAGGTGAGGGGGGAGGGGACAGAGGTAGGCGAAGAGGGGAATGGGAACGTGACGGGTACAGGGAACGTGAAGGAGGGGAACAGGGAGGAGGAGAACGGGGGGGGGGGAGCGGGAGGGTCATAAAACCCTAGCTTCCTCACCTCGCCTTCCTCAGTCTCTTGCCTCTTCGGATGTGACTTGACTTGCCAGTGTGGAGGATCAAAGTGGTGGACACACCGATCGAGCGATCGATCGATCCATAGATCGGTCCAGCGATTGATCGACCTCCCTCCCCTGTATGTTACGATATCATAGTGCACGTCATCGCCCCGCGATAGCCCGAGCCCGGTTGCATTTTGTGGTGGCTGTGGCGTTTCTTGAGTCAAGCGTTGCGGTGGAGTTTAACATAAAAGAGTTTTTTTAATGCTCACGCTGTGTACGCCGGTATTTCCCTTTTGTTACTTCCTTTAGCCAGCCATTTGGTCGCGGTGCATCGCCCGCTCTTTCTTCTCTTGCTCATCTCTACATTTCCCTCGCTTCTCTTGGAACCCTGAATCCTGTTCCGCTCTGCCACTGTGGCGCAATCATCCTCATTACCCCGCCACTGAACCGTAGTTGGTAGCGCTCTGTTTAACTCCAAGCTGAATCGACATCCCTTGCCTCTCGATATAGTACCCTGCATATACCTGTATCAGGCATATCTTGCACCACATGCACACTGAAGGTGAAGCGAAGCGACTGAAGTCTTAGGCACATCCTTCCTCTTTGTCGAGAGGATTGGTTAGATGCTTCAGCGGCAAGCGGGTGAGGTTATCATCATCGGGGATTTGAAAGTGACTGGGTTTGGGATTGGCAAGTACATTTGGGACAGGGTTCGGGGTCTGTTTGTCCTCCGCAACTCCAGAAGTCAGAATTATAGTCTGTTAGGAGCTCGTGGAGAACCTGAGTAGTAGAGGATTCTGATGGAAATTGGATTTGCAATCAGAAAGCATTCCTAGCGGGGTCAAGAGATTCAGCCAGACTTCCGGTCCGGAAGAGAAGCATCCTAGTTGTTCAAGGACTCATCCGCCATTATCATCGCCACCATCACCCCCACTTTCTCTCTATCTTCTCGATCTGGTCTGTGTCGCTTGTTGAGTTTCGTCAGCTGCGACATCGTTGTGAAACGTGGAACACTGTGCACGTCTGTGCTGTCTACGAGAGCATATATTGGCGCAACCTTGTGATATACCGGAGGATTCGCGACCAAAGTGAGACTTAGGGAAGGAGATTCCCAGTGTGGACAGTAAAATAACCTTCTTCATTCGGCAAACCTCCATTGCTTTCGTTCACCATTCCTTTCACCTACCTAACCGGTCAAAGAACTGAACAAGTGCCGGTATCTCGACGATACCCGTCCATAATTCTGGAACAACCTGGTTATCATTATCTATCGAATTAGGGGTGAATTTTCACTGAGTGGTGGCATATGAGACTTTGGTCGCCGCGCATCGGCGAGTTTGTTTCTGAAAATCCAACTCAATTGCTTGTGAAAAAACTTGAAAAATTCACCGTGTCTGCGGCACCTGGCTGCAACCTTTGCCTACCGGGTTTCGGCTCTCTGGTGGCTACGAGAGCAGGCTGCCCTCCTCTCGTTGGGAGCTCTGTCATATAGGGGTTCTAGTCCTGCCGCCTTCGTTCGGGGTAGCCGTCGAGCCTATGCACAGGTAGACCACTTTCTGCAGTGACCTGACTTCGAACATCATGCCAGCGGGCTGCAGGTGCAGGGGGTAAACACATGATAGCTGGGGATAAATCTTTTTCAATTTCTACTCTTCGGAGGCATCCCTTTTAGACATACTCGTTTGTGATACTTCGGAGTCGAGCTATGCGGCTGTGAAGAATCTACACTTAGGAAAGGTTAGGATGAGCGAAAGGAACAGCCCTCAGGTGTTGGCTCTTACAAACACCGAGCCCAGCGAAGCCACTAGCCCTAGTAGCAGTGATGGTGAATGAAATGCGCCGATAACCAAGTTCTTCGAGTTCGTACCGGAGAAGACATGCTTGAATTGAATGGCATGCTCTTTATAAGAGGCAAGTGCCGTTACTAGAGTATATGGGGAGACAGCTTAATTTGAGATCCGAGGTCTGAGGTGATGGAGAATATGGCAAGAAAGTTTATTAGGTAGTGCATGACTATTTCGGCATTTTTGCAACAAGATAACCTTAACTCTGATTGCGAGGAGCAGGGCAGTGCGCCGCAGAAATGGCATCCGATCTGCCCTTACTATACTCACCGACTCACCCTACGACAATCACGCGTCATAGCGACGCGTTTCTTACAAATTTGTATCATAAAAATGAGCGACTTGGAGAAATGGTTCTTTCTCCACAATCTCTTGATGATTTTTGGTCACAAGTGTTCGGAAATGAACTTCGTATTTCCTCTTTTTCCACTTCAAGTGAAAGATGCTTGCCGCTACTGGTACTTCACACCATTTCTCCTGGGGTGGCGTTCAAGCTGGCCCCCTCCGATAACCAGCAAGCTATGGATCTTTCTGCACTCCAAGCTTTACACGTTTCCTGTCTCCACGAAAACAAGGTATTTCATTCACGATCAGCTTCATCTCTCTAATGTACGACAGCGTCTCGTTTCTCGTATCCCTAATTCCCGTGTTATTCGACATTTTTTAGTTAGTCAGAAGTATACATGTTGACGCATGGTTTGCGTGTTTCAAGTTTGACTGTTTTAGCTTTTAAGTGACTTGTTTTTGTTTCAATATCGTGCGTCATTATAAGTTGCCCATCATCTCACATTTTGATGACATATTATAACTACGCTAGGACACTGTTGCGGGTCTGTGGGTGGTTTTAATGTGCATCTTTTATGCCCTTTATCTCGTCCCTTCAAACTCTTTGAATCGTTGCGATTCTCGTGTACTACATGTCAACGGCTTTACTTCCAGTACTGCCGTAGTCGTTGTCGTGCGTAGAATGACACGGGCTTGCTCCATTGAAAGGGTGCCTTCTCGTGTTAAAGTGAATGTGTGCTTAATGCTGTCTATTTCGTCCTATGCCAAATACTAAATACGGAAACTTCTGTTAGTTGGTTAATGCAAAATGAAATAAAATAAAATAATAATAGTAATGATGACAAAAATAAAATAGCTTAACGAACCTCTTCGCAGTTAACATCAGACTTGACAATTTTGCATGCAGTAAGGTGAGGTTTATGCACAAAACCTATACTAACATTTGAGATTCTGCATTTATGGTTACAGACGGCGGTAGCTCCGATCAGCGGCGGTCTTCAATTGCACTTAGTAGCCATGCTTCCATCACAAATACAAATCCCAGAAGGCAGAAAAGATGCCTGTTTTTGGGGATTTGTTGTAGTCCAAGGGATGTATGATTCCTGTCTTGCCATGCTTAATCTACGCTGCTTGGCCATGGTCCTTGACCTCGACGAAACCCTCATCGTAGCTAACACCTTAAAGACTTTTGATGATCGGATTGACGCTTTGAATCGTCGGTTGGTCAATCGGGAGGATCCTGTACTGGCTGGGACACTCAAACGATTTCAGGAAGATAAGGCTATTTTAGAGCAGTACATTAAGACCGATCAAGTGTATGACAATGGAAAACTGTACAAAGCCCAGTCAGAGGTCGTTCCACCTGTTGCAGATGGGGCGATTCCACTCATTCGACCTATTGTTCGGCTGCCAGAGCGAAATGTTATCCTCACACGGATCAATCCAGCGGTGCTGCCATCGACCATCTTTTTCAATTTAACTTTCTTTTTGAATCGCTGAGTAATTAGTGACATATTTAAGACTCTCAGTTATGAAACAAACATTCATTGAGTTGATGCATATCATATAATAGGTTACATACAGTTGGTGAAGTTTCAAGAGGTAATTCTGCATTGAGAGGTTAGGCTCTCTTAATTGATATTACTCTGTGCAGGTGAGGGACACAAGCGTGCTGGTGAGATTGAGACCAAATTGGGATGAATTGAAGGTCTATTTGTTGGCAAAAGGCCGTAAGCGATTTGAAGCCTTCATTTGTACTATGTCAGAGCGGGATTATGCCCTGGAAATGTGGCGGTTATTGGATCCTGATGCTCGTCTAATAAATCCACGAGAGTTGAATGAGCGGGTCACCTGTGTGAAGTCTGGTATGTCCTTTTTTGCCTGCCTTTGTGTCAAACATTCTTTCTGTACTTATTCATTTTATTTATTTATTGTTTCCTTTTTCCTTTTAACTGTTCCAACCCTTTTATTCATTGTCCTTATATTTGGAGAGCGTGGAGTTCTTGGCTTATTCGGTCGCCTATGATTTCCTCACCCGATGTGATTGTCGATTATTATTTGAAAATTGCGCGCTTGGTTTTGACTGAGATGCCTTGTGTTCTGGTTTAAGACGCTAAGAAAGCCTTGAAGGATTGTTTTCCTCGTCACTGCTGTCATCCGAAGATGGCAATGGTGATCGACGATCGGTTGCCTGTTTGGGAAAAAGTGGATCAACCTCGCGTGCATGAAGTGCAAGCATTCATGCCTTACACAGATCCAAAAGGAGAGGTATGTCTAGATTATATGTCTTCTCTTCCTCTTCACTTTTAAAAATTATGATCCTCGTCCATTTCTTTGATTTGTTCGCTGTTGTTCAAGTGCGCGAATTATCTAATTTCTTGATGGTGCATGATGTTTCTGTTGCACAGACTATGAAGGAATTGCCCCCTCTGTGTATCGCTAGAAACATAGCCTGTAACGTCCGAGGGTACTTTTTCAAGTAAGTATTATCTCGCACTTTATGATAGTAATTTACTGTCCTGTGCTTTCTTCATGACTATCTCTTTTGTTTGTTCTTTTCGTCATGAGGTTTCTAATTGGATCGCGGTCAAACTCACGTTCTCTTGAGTTACTAGAGAAAGACTACTTGTGTATGAAGAGGACATAGTTTTAGTCTGAAAGGTGAGAACTCAATTGGCTTGAACTACTTTTGCTTGTATCAGGGAGTTGGATGAAACTTTAACGCAGCAGATGCTGGAGGTCAAGTTCGATACAGAAGTCCACACTTTGCCTAAGGCTCCCGATGTGAGCAGTTATATAATCCCTGAGGTATGTGAGCAGTTATATAATGTAAAATGTGAGCAGTTATATAATCCCTGAGGTATGTGAGCAGTTATATAATGTAAAATGTGAGCAGTTATATAATGTCCATTTTACTTAAGCTTGTGATTAATAGTGATGCCACGAAGTTCGTAAATTCTTCACCAGGTCGTTTTGATCAGAAGTCTTTGGCGTTAGAATATTTTAAGGGTTCGCCTTGGTTTTTATGCTGCTTATGTAATTGGGAGAGCGTCACACCGGTGTCCTTTGCTTTTTGCGCCTCTTAAGTAGCTCATATGTCCTTTTACAGGTAATGCAGGAGGATGTAGTTCCAGGTTTTACAACGAATGGTGTTAAGGACTTTAGTGATGGAATGGCTAATATGGAAGTCGAGATGAACTTGAAAACACCGGTACATATGTGCGACATTGTCTGTATTTTATCCATCAAGGCGTGTTCTGTTTGCAACATGCCCTGTTTACGACTGGCATGTCAAGGATTACTTGTTTCCTCGCTGAGGAGATCATACGTCTTTGTGAGAGTAGAACAGAGCTATATGTTATTCTGAAAATCTTACTGCTGACGTCAAGTCTAGTTATTCAAGTATTTGATGCCGTAGATTCTGGTTGATTGCTATTCAATTGTAATAAAATATTTCATACCTCCAGGGCGCTAATGGGCTAAGCCACTCTCGAAGCTTCTCTATGGATGATGACTTAATGTTGGCACTCAAGCAACCAATACAACAACCTTTACAGCAGCAACAACAACAACATCAACAACCTCATCTTCTGGTTCCAGATCCCATTGGCCGACTACGCCCGCAGTTTGCAGGGGACGTTTCCAAAGTGGATCCCTCAATGTATCTTCCAGGTGATAGTATTGTGTATCCATCAAGTACTGAGAACAGTCTTTATCCTCCGGGCATTCCTAGAAGACATACAGATCCTGTTCAAACCAGGTTACTAGAAGGTACTATTCAAGGTTCCCCTGGCAGAGAAGAAGGAGAGGTTCCAGAAGCTGATATTGATCCAGATACTCGTAGACGGTTACTCATACTACAGCATGGCATGGACGCAAGCAAGCCGGTTACACCTCTCGCACCATTGCAGGTACAGATTCCTCCTGTTGTGCCTCCTGGAGGAGGGTGGCTTGGTATTGAAGAGGAGATGAGCCCTCGCCGACCAAGTAGGAGATCACCGGAGCTGGTCTTAGAACCAGAATCTCCTTCATTTGATCGTTCTGGACCTCCCGGGTTTGAAAATCCATATATTCGTGAACAACAGTTGATTAGAGAAGCAGCAAGAAGACAACGCGATCAGGAGGAGGTAGAATTTGTTACTTCAAACTTTGTGGAGGTTGTGTGCAGTGATCAGCAGATTTTACTTTTTTTGAATCTGATTTCACTGGAAATGAGTAAAGAAAGTGTAACATATACCATCTTTTTCTTATGGTTGTTGTGGTGGTAAACGTGAACAGAGCTTCTTCAAAGAGAGTAGATCGCAACTGGATAATTCTGCTTTTTCAGGTAACCTTGCAGATTTATCGAATTGTATTTCCTCCTAAACTGGGTATCTCCTTTTTTGTAAATACGATTGACGTTCATATTCTTTTCTATTTTTGGTAATGAGTGTTTCTGAGGTAGTGGTAGTGATTATCAGATGAGGATAGTGCAGCAAATAGCTTCACACGAGGGATGTCTAGGGAGCCATTTAATGCACCTCGAACAGTGCCATTTCCTGCCGTTAATGCTATCAGCGCGTTACATGAGATAGGGCAAAAAGTTAAACGAACTGTGAGTTCCAGTACTTATGCCCTTAACTTGCAATGATTTTACTTCGCATCGGCTATATTTAAGATTTTTATTAGTTACTGACACTACGAATTATGTAACAGTTTAAGTTCATGTTCATTGCATGCGTTGCTAATATGGGGGGTTATCAGGTACAATATCGCACAGATTTGAGGAGTTCCACACATCTTGGAGTTACTGTCGAGGTGCTGTTTCTTCACCTTTTCTGATTCCAGCTACTAGATATTCATAAGAAACTATGAAGATATATTTTTGCAATGTCGTGAGCTTGAAACTAAGTTTACACTGCGTATACTGTGGTTGAGGTCTGCGCATGAAAACATTGTATATTATCGATGGCAGGTCATGTTTGGAGGTGAAAAAGTGGGAGAGGGCGTAGGTAGGACCCGAAAAGAAGCCAAATATAATGCTGCAGAGTCGGCTCTACTATATTTAGCCAGTGAGTATTTTGCTTGAAGCAGCAACTCAAGTAGATGACAAAGCTTTTATGAAAATTTCTACTATTTGAGTTAAGTGTTTTCTGTGTTCAATCAATCATTTAAACTGTTGATCACCGTGACTACTGAGCTAAGATTGGGAAAGTAAAGGTTATCTGTTAATCCAATTTGTTGCATGAGGTTATCTAAGCTACTTGATAATGTTTTGTTTGCCCACTCAATAGCCAAGGCCACTGGAGGGTCAACTCCAGTACCTTCCACAGCTACTTTGCCAGAGCCAGCTAAAGAGGTCCGAATGTCACGTGGTGGTCCTAGAGATCCCCGTTTGTCGGCTGGTCTTGCACCTCTGCCTCGGGATGATGATAGTCCAGTAGCGAGTACTTCAGGACATGTTCCTCTGGGCGGTTATCAGTCTAATGAGGAGCCAGTGCCTTATAATCATGTTGCAGTTCTTAAGGAATTGGTAATTCTTCGACTGGACTCATATCTGCGGTGTGCTTTTTCTAATCCTCTAATCATACATGTTTCTAGCGTATAGCTGTTAGACATTTATTTTGTGTTTATGTCATACAGCTTGGTTCAAACATCGGTATCTAAGGAACTTGGAAGCAATTGCTCAGCTGAATTACCAGGTTGTAATGCATGCTGAACTTGTTGATCAACTTCTTCTTCTTCTTCTCCCCTCTCTCTCTCTCTCTCTCTCTCTCTCTCCCTCTCTCTTTTTTGTATCCAATGGTTGATTGGATGTGCTTGCAGTGTACGAGGGAGGCAATTAATATTCAATTCAAAGCGCTTCCATCAAATGGAGTTGGGCAGCGACAAGCATTTCGTTGTCAGGTACATCCTTGGAGGACGTTGGATCAACTAAGAGTAGTGTTTTTTAAGTAAGGTTACGAGAACTTGTTAGTTAGAATATGCCTTGACTGTTGTGGTGCGTAACACAGTGAGAGTATGTTGTTGTTTATTAGCAAGGAAGAGTCTATTCATGCTGATTTTTGGGCTTGAATGATGTAGCTGCTGTAAGTGTGGGTTACAATTATCTTCTTGGGTTTGATGTGACAGGTAGAAGTTGGCGGACGAATGTTGGGTAGAGGTAGTGGACCTACTTGGGATGAAGCCAAGCAAGAAGTAAGTGTAACTTTTGAAGCTTTTACTGAGGCTTCAGTTCATAACAGCCACTGTTGCTGCAGTTTAAGATAGCTAGGTTATTATTTTAAAAGAAAATCAGTATCAGTCCAATGTATTCTTCCAATCCCCTTTACATATCAAATATTTGTGTTAAATCTTTTACCAGGCAGCAAAAGAAGCCTATATACAGGTGGAAATGTCACTACGACCGCATAAGCGAGGAAATGGACCAAGGTAAGATCTCCTGGTCAAGTATCTGTAGCCACTGCAATCGTTTCTCTTTTTGTTTTATCTTGCTTATTGACAATTCTTCACATTTTAATTTTTGACTCAAGCCGAATTCTGACATAATACCCTGCTCTCAACATCTGAGGCTTTTGCTTAAATGCTTAATTGTTTAGAGATTCCTGTGCTTCCGCCAATATTTGGATCACCCGCTTGTTGGACTTCAAGTGGGAAGTTCTGTAGCTTGAGATTGGCACCGACTCCTATATTGTGGTTGTTATGCAGGTCACCAGGGAGCAACAAGCGAATGCGAACGGATCCAATGAAAGACCGTGGAGTGCCCGCTAGTCTATCTCCTGTACGTGGAGGTAGGTCGAGGCTGTCCCCTAGAAGACATGCCCGAAATCTTCCACCGATGCCGTGAGCCAAAATATCTTGATGGATTGACATGCTTTTTGAGTGCTATTTGCGCAACCCCTGGATCAAATAGGGAAGAAGAGACTTTGGAGAACGCGGTGCTGGAGTGGTAAACCTGTGTAGACAGGTTCAACTTTGAATATAGAATAGTTCTTGTTGCTCTTTCCACTCATCTAGACTAGTTCTTCCATGTCTATTGCTGAGAACCAGCACTACTGATGCCCGATTCTGGGCCAGGAAGTAGATCTAGCAATTTTGGGGTCATATGCCAGGTGCTCTTATGCCGATCTGGCCTGCAGTGCAGTGTGTACATTGTAGTAGCAAGTGGTGGATGTTCTAAGCAGAAGTGCTCGAGGCTGGGACCTGTCTTCAACGGCTGTTAGCTTCACTCTCCTGGTGTCGAAACCTGCCGTAGGAAGCAAACAGCGTTGATTATTGCCATCCATGAGAGATGTTGCAAAAACTTCCACACCGGCACCGCTTAGGACGTCTCCGCCTTTAAAGGTGGTGGCTGCTGGACAACATACTTTACCCTTTTGGTCATAAGATGACATTTTAACATGGGGTTAGACACTAAGTTGCACTGCATGTAGAGAATTAGTCTATCACTTGTGTTATAATTCTTTCGGATGTGTTGGGGATTTTTCTCTCTATTAGGAAACGAGGTTTATCTTGAAATGACTCTCGAGGTTGTTGAAATGCACGATTGTTAAGTGGGTTGTACAATCTCTCCCAAACTCTAGTCTATAAACTCATCCTGAACTTCATTTGGAAGTCGTGTCAGAAAGCTTGTGATATGATCGTAACACTCAATAAATTTGAAACATAGAATTTTTTAGGTGAAATTGTCTTACTTTTCATGACCTGAGTTTTCGGGATTTGACACTTTTGAATAGTAATGTAGTGCTTTTATATTTTCCAAATACTCTTAGTAGCAACAACTTCTACTAAAGTCCTGCGTAATCTAAATCTTAGCGGTTGTTTTTGTTAACAACGAAGCCAGAATTTCTCCTATACGATTGGGTGAGATTGAGCCATTATAAATCATGGAGCCTTAACCTTACTCGTATCCTTACTCGTCATTGCAGATGTGGATGGATCTTCGAGAACAGATCATTTGACGAACACTTTTGTTGCTCGTATCTGATTTATTCAATGTCTTTCATCTTCAGACTGGTGATCAATTGCCAATCTCTACTAATCTAACTGTCTTGCTCCAGCAGGCGGGCACCACACCACGTGTTGGTTTCAACACGTCTAAAAGCCAGGACTGGAAAAAAACTGAACTCCCAACGTTCCGAAGAAGGCCAAGAGAAGCTCTCACTTATTCCGAATCGAGATCAGATCCGACCTGAAATGTGGTCTATCGGGGAGGCACCGCGGTGTAGTGTCTCTTCCCAAGTGAAGGGTCACTTGAGTAGCGAAGGTGATCACAAAAACTGCTTCGTTGCTCTGTGACAACACCAAGGAACAGTGAAAAAGCACAGGCATTGCAAGAGGACAAGCAATATTCATCCTTGCCTATATATATATATATATATATATATATGTATCTACTTAACAAGATGAAGAAATGCAGTGTTGTTCATGTGATGTGTGAATCCCATTTGCATGCCCACGCAGTGTTTTTGTGGAATGGATTTAGTAAATTTGATAGTCAAGGAGTTGTGGTTTTTGTTTGATCATTAAGGGTCAGATTCTGTTGTGCCAAATTAGTAAGGAAATTTGACATTGGGTAGTTAAAATTGGACATCTCATTGATTGTAAAGTTTGGAACTGAATTCAGGACGGAATCTAGTTATTGTAATTTGTATTTTAAAAATATAAAATGTTGGTTTGGTAGAGTGTTCTTTGTTGTTTTATTATCAACATATATCATAGATAAATATTTGCAAGACAATCTATGCAAAATCTAATCAAATTAGTATTGGTTAAATTTAGGTTCACCATATCCAAATCCTTGTTTTTAGGGCCTCCAATGATGTGTTATATTATTGTTTAAAAATATTTTAGTATTATTTTATAATATCTTTTATTACAAGGTACCAAATTCTTTTAAGATGAAAGAAGAAAAAAGGTGAAGTGACTTTGTTCATGTTGATTTGACAAATTTGTCAAAAAAAATAAATTCTATAGAATAGTATTACTTAAAAATATGACATATAAGAACTTTATATGTAAAAGTCTATTGTAAGAAAGTCTATTGCAAAAGTTTTATGTGGATAGTTTAATTAATAAAAGTTGTAGCCTCTTGAATTCTTTTTTTAAGCATTAAGTTCTCCTTAGTTAAAAACATTTATTACACAACTTGAAAATAAAAAAAACTACTATTAAAAATGCCTTGTAAATTATATATATTTATAAATAATATTTTTATGCATGATTTTTAAATTTTTTTTTAAAAGTTGATTTTTTAATATTTTATAATTAAGTGCATTCAATTGCATATTTTAAAATTTTCACATAAATTAATATTAATTAATTGGCCTAAATTAATTACTATCCATTATAGTCCAATTTAAATTATTAATCTGTTAATCAACTAAAAATCATATATCCATCTAATCAAAATTTATCTAATCTATACTTAGCTAATCCATACTATAGTTGTCATTCCACTTTTTTCATCTCTATAATACATTACATCTAAATTAATGACTTCATCTATATATTATATTTATTTAATAATTTCATCTATTTATTTGATTATTCATTCAATTGACCTTTGCATCCTTTTTATTCTTCTATCTAAGATTCATCTATAGAAATTGAATTATAGACTTAAAACATCATCTAAGTAAGAACCAAAGAAATTTAGAACATTTAAACCTATTGATGTACCTACCTTTTTAAATTCATGTATCACAAATGATTCCATGCTCCAAATTAAATTTGATTGGTTTAAATAAAAAGAAGTCTTCAAGGTGCATTTTTTTTTTAAATTTTTGTCTTCAAATTCTCTTGATACTTCTAATATTTCCTCTTAATGTTAATGCTTTAATTTAGCAAGATAATAGATTCTATCTACAAAATTATATTTTATAGTTTACTTCTTTATTATCTTTTAGTAAATCTAAGTTTATTGAAATCTTGACTTCAAATAATGCTTAGTTCTAAAAATTTAGTCTTTGAGATGTTTTAATCCTCTTGATCTTCTTTTCTAAAGTTATGCTTTCACTTGGTTGCTTAAATTCAAAGACATCAAACTCTCTATAACAAGAATCAATTTTCCTACCATGTCTTGATTCAAATATAATTAATAACTAGCTTTTTAGAAACTAGGTTTTATGATCTTTTCAAAAAAAAAAATTATTGCTTTTTTTTATTTTGAGTAATGGAGATCCTTCCAAAACAAAGCTACCAAACTATAAAGGGACTATACCACCCTTCACTAAATTGGATGTTTTTTCTTCTATCAAAATTCAAATTCTAAGATTTTTACTTGAAAAAAATACAAAAAAATTCTACTTGCACCTAAATTTTTATAAACATATTCTGAATATTAAAAGATAAAATTAAAAATAATAATAATAAAGCTGCTTATAAAACTTAAGAAAAAATTGATATGACTTTTCTTATCAACAAAAAAAAGAAGACTTGATCAAATGAACCTATGAAATCTCTTATATTCTTATTTTAAGGCCTAAGGATAGAGATCGCTTGTCTACCCTTAAAGTTCAAAGAGCTCAAATTAAGATCTATGAACTTTGTTGATTTAATAGTTAAAATCTAAGATCAAGGCTGATAACCATCAAATGAGTTCTAAAAATAATTTTTTGACCATATCAACTTCATAGTTGTATTTAAAACATATTTTTTTAAAATAGGAATTGACTACTTACATTCTTCAATCTAGAAAAATATGTAATATTCATGACGATTAAAAAAATGACTATTAGGATTGAATTTGATTTATCCATAATTTACTTCTAAATTAATTCTAATTTACTTATGATTAGACTAAAGAAATTCTATAACTAAGAGAAGATAAATCTTAATATTTGCAAAAGCAAGATTTTACCAAATATGTCAATCATGAGATTAAAAAATTTGCAAGAAGATTCTTCATGATTAATGTTGTCAAGCCAAGAGAAGAAGGTTGGAGTATGTGGCTTCTTTCCTTCTCCTTTTCTGATTTAGGTAGAAGAATTTTTTGTTTTTGGATTGATTGGAATTAGCACATTTATTACAATATTCTATCTTAGCTCAATTTTCTTTCTCAACCAAGTTTTTTTTTCTTATAGTTGTAGCATTCAAAATATTTTAGATACACAAACTCTTAATTTCTAAAGACTTTATTATCAAGGTTACTTCTTACTTCAAATTGTATCTCCTTGTAAATCTAGTCATGGCATTAGAAATTTACTAAATTTATTAGTCATGATTAATGTATTTAGTTATAATATTGTTTTCAGCAGAGAGAGATAAGTTCAACTTTTTATTGGCCTTGTTTAGGTAGTGGGTCATGGTAATAGGGAGTTTTCTTCTATTGTCACTTCAACTTCATCTTTAACTTCATTACTTCTTCTTTTTTCAAAACCTTTTTTCTAATCTTAATAATAAAATATTGAGTGGATATTGGAACATCTTCATAATCCCAAAGGAGAAGGTATACATCCATGGTCTTCAAAGAAAGTTACATAAGACTTCTACATCCCTCCCTAGTACTACAACAACAACACAATCTAATGCTACAATGACACTAGTCATGATCCAATGCTAAAATAACACTAGTCATGATCTAATGCTACAATGACACTAGTCATGATCTAATGCTAAAATAACACTAGTCATGATCTAATACTACAATGACACTAGTCATGACATCTCTATAACAATGCTACTTTGTGTCCCAACCTTTAAGTTGTGATTAAGACTAATTTAAAGCATCTAAATAAAGATTCTTGTTACAACTTCCAACTCTTTATAATAGTGTCATAGCTACAAGATTATATTATGTTTGCTCAATTCTTTACTTAACAAGACTTTTCACTCTTCCACATCTTTAGTTGTCCTCTATTATTCAAGAGCCATTAGAACTTCCACATTCACATATACTATACAATATGCCTCTTACTTATTAGTAGGTACAAGATTTAGACTATGGCACCTAAGTTATTTCTTGTGATTTATTTCTATTATTTGATAAGACTTCTCACTTTTCATTGTGCCTTGCTCCCAGAGACTTCAAAAATACACAAAAAGGGTTTTAGGATAATTCTCTTGATTTTACTTATTGATGCTTGACTTTTGACCATTTTCACCTTGTCTACTTGAAAAGACTTTGACCAATGGAGAAATGCTTCTCTTATCCCTTCCTCATAGTCTGCTCTCTTTGAACACTATAAATCATTGCCAAGGTAGATAATAACAAGCACAACTTACGTTGCATACTCCCCTCATTAAGTCAACACCTTACAATTGGTACTATTATACTATCTTGGAAACTCTATCTACAAACAAAATATTGAACACAATAAGATTTGGAGAAGCATAAATGAACTTCACTTCTTTCCATGAATTCTACCTTTTACCGTATCTCAATTATTAAAGCCAAAACCACTCTTAGAAGATTCAAATAAAGAAATAGAAAGGTTTGTATTGTTTCTTAGAAACAAATACAAAAAAATGATAGAAATATTTTAATATAAAAATAGTAATAAAATCTATTAATGAATCATTATATATTTTATAAAGATTACTAATTCTTTAAACAAGTTGATAAAAACCATTTAATAGTTTAAGATTAAGTTGGACAAAATTTAAGAAAAATAATCTACTATCTATAAATTTATTAAAATCAAAATATGTCGCATAATAAAATCAAATTTCAATAATTAAAGGATTATTAAATAATTTACTATCTACATTAAAATATATGTGTATATATCCAATAAATTTAATAAAAATATTGAAAAAATAACAACTTTAAAGAATGATCTAAAAAAAAAACAAAGCAAAACAAAACAAAAACAGATTATTGGTACAAAATTAAAATTTATATTAAAATGAGTTATTGGAATTGCATAAAGAGATTTCTATGAACTTTTGATGATTTTGAAAGAAAAAAATAAAGAATAAAGAATAATAAAGCTAATAATTAGAAAAAATAGATAATTAGAAAAAATAGATAATTTAAGAAAATTATCTTTTAAAGTAATATATATATATATATATATATATATATATATATATATAAAGTAAAAAAGATAATTTAATTATTTGAATAAGTAGATTCCATTGAAGTCTTTACTTCAAGCACCAAAAACACAAGTTCAAGAAAAAATCTTATTAAGTAAATGAAAATAAATAAAAATAAAATTCTAATTAATTTAATTACTAGAAAAATTATAAATTGAATATATTATTATTATTATATTTTAATAACAAAAAGATAAAATTAAACAATTGAACACTACCGAATGATTTAATTGTGTCTCCTTTTATTCTAACTTTATGTAATTTGTTAACTTCTTATGTCAATTCCATCTGTTATATTTAAGAAGATAAAACAAAAGAATATTTTTGCATCTTTATAAGTGTCTTAATTTTGTACAGCATTATATTCAATTCTAACATTGTCTCACCACATTTACTAATAAAACTTAGTTTTGAAATAGTAAACAAATATATATTCAAGATTTCCTTATCAAAATACACAAGGTTACTATTTACAATTGTATTATCAATTTAAGTTGTAGATATATTTTACATCAAAAACTTTAAAATTTCATAATCTTTTTAAAACTTTGATAGATGATAGATGCACAATAACAAGTTTTCTAATTATGTACTGATTTTCTTGCAACTTAAGTAATTTAGATCAAATAACAATAAAAATTATACATTTAAGAACCATCATTAGTAGACCATGGATATACTTTATTTGCACTAAGCTAAAAATTTATGTATATATATATATATATATATATAAGCTTAAAAATTATAAAATCAAAATAATAGTTAAGTATAATACAAAAAATATTAATATATATATATATATATATATATATATATATATATATATAGAAAATTAAAAGAGGGACATAATGCAATATAACAAAATAAGAAGATGTCAATAAATTAATTAATTAATATTACAATATTTATGTTGAAACCATAACCTAATTACAAAAATTAGTACAATATCAAAAATTAATGATGATCAAATTTTACAATGGTGCAAATAATCAATTTCCTGTAAAATTATAAAATCATTATCTACATTCTATATATCTTTAACAAAAAATTTGGCAAATTATTCTTATTGGATGAAAGATTATTGTATAACATGCAAGTAATTGTTAATCTTTGAGTTTTAAGGTTAAGAATGCACACATAAAATAAAATTATATGAAAAATTCAAAATAGATAACTTGACAAAGATTGATAATACTAACAAGTTTAAATTTTAGAATTTTAAAAAGAATAATGCACTAAAATCAAAGAAATAGAATGCCTTTGCAAATGCATCTTATAATAACATATATGTAAGCAACTTATTTAAAGAAAAGAAATTGAAAATAAGTATTTGTATTGATAAATATGTTTTTATTTAAATTTGTATGTTTTATGTTTTATAAATTTAATATTAAAAAAAGTAAAAGTATACAAAGATATGGTTATAAAGGTACTTCATAGTATAACGTTTTGATGTTATTAATTCATAAAAAAAAACTATTTATACATACTTTGAGAGAATCGACATATTCTTGAAGAATTTATAGATGCAATTTATTAAGCTTAATAGGACAACATTCTTGAAAAACAAAAAGTTAGCAATATTTATTTTTGTTTTTATTTTGTACTAATTTATAATATTATGCAAACATGCCAATGAATTTATTTGTAACGTTAAATGTTTGTCTTTCACAAATGATCCAACTCATGGATAAAATTATGATTGACAAAAATAATAAAATAGAGTAAAATAAAATCAATTCTGAGAGGACTGACATTTCTGATTTCATTCAGAAAACATTCTTGAACTTGAACATTTGGACAGATTAAGATTTATCAAAAAGAATTAAGGTTCTCTAATCTTTCTTACAACACTGTTGAGCTGAAGCAACCAAACACAGAAAGATATGTCGAAGAAGTAGAGATTTCCAATTTATTTGATATCATGGTCTTAAGAGTGACAAAATTGCCAAGTAAGACATTTTTTTCTCAGTCAAGTCTTTTTTTACTATATTATTTAAGTTTGCCGATGGTGCTGATGTGATTTTTAAATCTTGACTTTTTTGACAAATTTGAGTTCTTTTTGTTGCTTAAGCTTCACAATATCATAAATAAAATAAAATAAAATAACTAACAAAATAATACCTTGTCAACCATGTCTTTTTCATTCACATCCACATTCAACTCGGTTAACAAACATGAACAACAAATTTCAACAAATGAGTGACCACTGGAGTTAATGCCAATTAACACTTCCTGATTTTAAGTGACTGTCTATTAACAATTAGAAAAAGTTAACCATTGTTTAAAATGAAAGGGGGCTCCACTGTACTTAAACTTGTAACAATGCACAAGGTCTTGTCTATGGAAGCATCTTGACTGAAGATTTTGCAACCACCCAAGTGGTAAAAACTCTGCAGCAACACCTCACAACGTTACAATCCTTTACAACAATCCTTCATGACGCAAGCTGTAACTGGTTCAGGAAGAAATATTGGAGCGCCAATAATAATTACGTACACATTGACGCTCACTGAACTTTGAACGAACTCTTTAATACATAGAAGAGATCGATAATAATACAGCTAGCGGTATGTTGTCAGAAACACACCAGAACATCAATGTGGTGGGAATACCTCGGCGTTGAAAACGGATTATTCTGCGCAGGTGCAAAAGGGACTCAGAATCTGCCTACTTCTAAACCTGGATGGAAAATAAAAAGTCCCAACACTTGGCGTAGCAGTTCCAATTCTACAGGGGATAATGCACAGATAATACCTACTGAAACTCCTCGTTGTAAATGCAATAAAGCGCACATGAGAGCCATCCACTGCTACTGACGATGCTGCAAATCACTTCTCCACTTCGCCACTGCGGCTGCCTACAGTGATACGTCTGAAAAAAAGTTGGGGATTCCATGAGAGGCCAGTGCGAAAGTCCATCAAACTGCCAAATCAATGCATGCACGCCACTTCCATGGTTCTACTACGTCCAAACGCGGTTCTTATGTCATCATAATTATAACCAGGGAGATGGATACACAAGCATTGCGGATTCCAATGGATTGATTGAATCTCAACTGGTCGTGTTAGAACAAGTGGATCCTACTCAGTGTGCCGTCATCCTCTAAAGCTCTACCCATGACATTGAATCCCCAAATGGAACTTGTAAGCGCTACATCCAACTAGGACTTAAGCTAGAATTCTACAAGCACAAACTGCTACCTTGAATATCCATTTCCTTCATTCCCAAATGGGAACAGTGCCTACGATTCTGAGACAACCAGCCTTAAGCGTCTCAGATTTTGTTTTTTGCTAACAAGCTGGAGCGGAACGATTGTGAATTTGAGGCGTGCAGTGCGAACTCACGGGTTCACAGATGCTCTATCCTGTGCCTTCACTCCATCAGCTCTTCGCATAACCTGCGAAGGCGAAGCACTTAGTTCTGGGGGTTGCGACACAGTCTGTGTATTCTCCCGACTGGCAGCCTGCAAGGCATCATCACCATGCCCTATTCTCTGCACCGTACACTATCAATTTGTTACCAATAGAAACTGATGAAACTATCTCATATCTATGTGAAATAGTTCAGTGAGCAGTCATCAACTAGTAACTGAAACCAAACTCCGCGCAGTAGCTCTCTCCCATATTTGACGAAGTAAAGTAACACCAACAAACAAACCTTCTAGAACTACGCACAACATAGATAATAGACTACTCACAAACAGGGCCTTGAAGCTAGAGAATAACGGAAAGAGTTCAAAACAAGAAATACTGAGAAGATATCAAAACACACAAGCCACTGCTCTCTTGAGCTTTCACCAGAAACCAATGGGTTTATTCAATAAGCGGCAGTGCACAATTCGTGCATGAAACAAAACCTGCATCTGGTAATGAAGGAAGCCAACTAATGCAGCAATATGCTGAAATCTTGTAAGGTAGTTGGTGGCTAATGTGGCAACACATAATGTGAAGCAACAATTGCTTAACGTAAATACAAATGGGGGACAAGAGAAGTAGCCTAATCAGATACAAACGAATAACTCACTTACAATAGAAACACTTCTGTTCCTTGCACTGCTTCCCACTATTCAATCAAATACAGACTAACCTAGGAACGCTTTCAAACCGCAGTATTCTATGGGAACCAAAACAGTGCTACAGCCAGCCCCAAATGCCACCCACCAAAAATCTAGTGTGTAAATGAATGCTCCAAACCCTAACCAGTAGCAAGCTATTAGGTACACGCACGTCCATTCCTCTATGAGAGTGGTACAGGTAGGCTGAAGGTCAGTACCTCCTAAGATATTTTTAAGAGACCACAGGTGGAGAGAGAGGTCACGAGAAGATGAAAAAGAGGTCATAAACCGTCGTCTTTCATAGGTTTGAAAACCACCTCTTTGAAGCTGTCCCTCATTAACGTTTGAGTATTGCCACTGGGCGCAGTAATTAACGCACGCTCCTGATCACTCTCACTTTCCACCATCTCCTTTCCTTCCGCAAACTCAGAAACGCTCTCTGCATTTGGATTCTGGCATCCTGGAGCTTCAGTAGCTGTGACTTGCAGCCCTTCGGGTAGCAAACAATTACACATATAGCCTACTCTGGCGAGGCGATTAACCCATCCAGGAATGGGTTTTCCAGTTAGTCTTCTACACACATCATCAGAAAAATGGTTACAGTTCTTCACTATAAGATGATACGAATCCCCATAGTACTCGTCCGCACATTGCTCCATGAAACTCCGGAACTCGGCTGCATTGAGGCTAGTGGTCCCAAGGTGCACCGACCTTCGAAACGTGAAACCCGGACATTGTTTAGGGTCAACTTCAAATACACCACTAGTAGGATAGTCGTGAGCACCAAACGCATATTCCGCACCATGCGCTTCAATGCCTGAATGAAAAATCCCTAGGCCCACCCAGTATACATAATTGTTCATGGGAGTCAAATCGTACACATTGAGGAATATGTCTATTTGGCAGTTTGGATCAGAACCCTTTGGACACTCCGCGGCCGTCATTCTTAAAGCCAGTGGACCCTTTAACTTCACCGGCACCGGCCACTCTTCTCAATCCTTTCAATTCTGCATCCAAGTTCACTGATGCCCTTAATGATTCTCAACTACCCCCTGCATGTCGAACCAAAAGCACGGTCTGAGCAGTATTCCTGGAGGTAAACAAGAAGAAAATGCTCGTCAGAAAGGAAGTTCAACCAGATATGGTCACGAGCGGAAAGAATCGTTCCAAGCGGTATTTGCTAAATCAGTGAATTAGCAAATTCAGCAGGATCCGAAAACAAGGATCAAAGGACTCAAATCAACTACAAATCTGGTATGAACAAAGTGTAAAAAATTATGACTCCAATATATTTATTCGGAATGACTCATATGGGGACACAGTGAGATTTCTCTAAAAACTAAATCATGGTAGGTCAAAACTTTCGATAGCATCTCGTCAGAACAAAGATAGGCCTAACGTTCGGTGCACAATCCACAGTCAAGCATAAACACGAAAATGACCCTGCTCCAAAACGCAAGAGCGGGATCCTAACATGCATTGAGCACCCGGAAAAATGAGGAACACATTGATTGATCAAACATTTAGAGCTAATAAAATAGACAATATCTGCGGGTGAATGCCTACAAGAGCAACTCACATTTCCATCTACTCCAGAGAATCCATCTGTCACCGTGGCCGTCAGTGCAGACCGGCATCATCATAGACTCGCTCTTTTCCACACTTCAAGAAAACTTCTTCCAGCAAAAAAGCCACTACATTCCGTCTCCTCTATTCCACGATCATCACTAAAGGCTTTCAAATCAGTTACCTTGAGATCAGGAACTGACCCGCATCAAACCTGAATTTTTTTAGATTCTCGTGTAAGCAACCAACCCAGATTCTTAACAACTCAGATTAATTCATAACAGCACCTGCACGACCAAGGGCAGCTTTCAGTTCAGTGATAAAAAAGCCTTCTGGTGATCATAAACCTCGGAATACCAATATCAGGAGCACGTCCACATTCATCATTGCACAAATTTCAAACCGGAAAAAGTCAAACATATTCAAAAGACTTCCTCTTCAAATAAATATGCAAAAACCACCAAAAAAAAATTGCTCACAAGCACCACCCTCCCACCCATTGCAGGTAACAATTCCGGCGAACCCGGCTAACCTCGGACACTCCGGCAGCCCACCCGATGCACCCAGAAACACGTACGACCGAAAGCTGGATCCAAAGCGCATTAAAAAAAAAACTCACCAATGGAACCCACAATTCTTAATCCTCGCAGCTCCCTGGGCTTGCCACCCCAACACCCCCAATCGAGCGCCGAAGAAGAATCCCCACCCCAAGTCCTCTTCAGATATCGACCCAGAAGCGCCAGAACTAACTGAAAAGCTCAAAACCAATTGCCCGACCTTGCAGCTCAGATCTGCAGCGACCTCGCCAAGTCCCTTGCAAGCACCCAAATCGAATGCGAGCGCTGATCGCGTGATCCGATTCCGAAGTTGAATAAGAAGATGAAGGGCGCTGGAAAAGGGGAGCGGGGGGGGCGGGCGGATGGGGGAGCAAGATGCGGAAGAGTAGGCTGGGCCGACGAATGAACGTGGCCGTGACGATAGACTATTCTCATCTATACATTCGTTGTTTAGTATATTCATTCGTTTAAATGGATGAAGTCACGCTGCTGGATTCTGTTCGGAATCTGGCACGGGTGGGTACCAGATGTCATAGGTCTCTTTCCCTGTAGTGGCGGATGCCGGCCCGTGCCCGCGCTCACCACCCGTGATCTCTTCCTTTTTGTGCTTTTCGGAATCACAATTTAGATATTGTGTTTTTTTTCCAAGAAAAAGAGATTATTTAATTGAACAAGGCTTATAAGTTCCATGCTTCTGATGTTTATTTTAAAATAAACCTGAATTTTTTAATTATTTTTTTTGAATTTGGATTTTTATAATTATTTTTAAATTAAAACAATCAATTGATATTATTTACATGTCACAAATTTGCGGCTCAAAAATCAATCTAGCTATGTATATATTTACACACACATTAGCATTGGAGCCCGTTGCTTTGCTTTATAAGTATTATGTTAAAAATTAATGAGGCCATAAATGTTTCCAGAGAAGGTGAAAAATAATTATTAAAGGTTTTTTTTAAAAAAATAAAAATAAAAATAACATTATAACAAGTTAATTATATATGTTTCTTGAAAATTTAACAACATAAAATATAGTTAAAGTCCATGGGATGTGGTTCTTGGTATCGACACTAAATATCAAATCTCTTTCTACTTTCTCATTTATTAAGTAACTTAAAAGAAACAAGAATTGGTTAATAATTTTAGATGAACTTAATAGATGAATGGACTCATGAAGGAATGTTATGCCCATTTTGATGAAAACACATATAGACAAATAAACACCATTATATATATATATATATATATATATATGATAATAATTTAAACACTTATTTAATTCAAAATAATATATTATTATACAATGTCTAATTGATGTCTCCTTAATAAATACAATTTTCATGTACTTGTCAACATAAATATATTTATAAATCTATATATAAAATTTATTTAATATAATTTTCATGTACTTGTCAACATAAATATATTTTTAAATCTATATATAAAATTTAGTTAATAAGCAGTTGGTGATAAAGGTTATGAAATATAATAGCACATGCAATATTATGTTATTTGGTTCAATTGAAAATGATTTAGTGCTAATTTGTATAAATTATTTAATTCTATCTAATTTTATAATTAGTAATTTATTTATATATAGAATTTTTAATTTATATATATATTAACATAAAAAAAGTTATATATAAATGTACATACATACATACTACACTAAAAAAACTTAAAGATAACATATTTTTTTGATATTTAATGTCTAAATTACTATTCAAGTATATATTTTTTTCTCACAATTGCTCATATAAGACATGGCATATAAATGAGGCTAATAATATTATATTTTAAATAATTATATTTTTTATAAAAAAATCTTCAAAAGTATTATAATAGTATTTAAATTGTTCAAAATAACATTAGAGCATTGTATTTGATATCACAAGCGCAAACAAACATATTATACAATTAATTAAAAGTAATTTTAAAAACAAGTTTATGCAAGTAATGCACAAAAATAATTAATAATACAACTAATATATATATATATATAAATCATAATATTGAATATTACCAAATCCAATAAAATAATAATAAAAGATCTTTTTTAAATGTGTTTTTTATTACAATACATTTGAAATTCCAAGTTAAAAATATTTGATCAATACACTTCCAAATAGTTAATAAGTTAACACATAGCAAAAATAAAGACCTCACACTTTAATGCAATGTTTTCTTTGCATAAATATATTTATCATGCACCTAACTAATTTACTAACCAACTAACACAATAACATGCATTGATATTTATCAAAGACAATACAAGAATAGAAAAAGAAAAGAAAAATAGAAACATTAAATCTATTATTGCATCTGAATTGTGATATTTGAAGCGAATTATTTTTAATGAAACAAAAACGATTATAGAAAATTCATTAATCACCTTGTATTTATTTATTTATTACATAAAATCCAAAATTGTGCATTACTTTTTGTCAATGATAAGGGAGGAAGGTGTTGGAGTGTACTCTGAAACCCTAACTCTAATTTTCTTATTTCTCACTTATCGTTGCCCAATCCACCACCTCGCGTCAACCTCACTGGCGTCGTTGCCGACATTCACATCTGTGTTTCGGTGTTTATGTGCATTAGTTTAATTTATATTAGAGTTGATTTGGTTTCCATTCGTAATGAGCTGTTGATAGATATCTCAATCATTCGGCATTAGGCTCCCACAGGCGAAGTGACGAGTCCAAAGAAGGGGAGGCATTCACCTTGTTTTTATTTATTGATGGTAGTCATGTTGGTGATGCAGCAGAGCTCCTCGCAAACTCCCCTGACTGGACTAGTGTGTAGTGTTCCTGTTTGTACCAATTCGTTAACGTCAATGAAATAAAATAAATAAAAATAAAATGCATTAAAAAAATCAACGAATAAAACAAAATATCCTTCTACCAGGACTGATGAGTTTTGAAGAACGGAAGAGTGAATTTTTCATATCAAAAATATTTCCTCCGAGTATAGCAGCTGTTCGCATCTGCAGTTTGGCATCATTCTAATGAGCCAATTTTGCGACGCTCTTGGTATAGTAAATGCTAACACCTCTAGTTAGGTTACAAAAATCTCATATTCATCATAGCAAAGGATATGCTCATTCGAATTGCATTATGACCTCCGTTCTAAGAATTCTCTTATGAGAGAAGATTATTAAACAACTGTTTCGCTGATCATTGGTGGATTGTTCAAATATGAAGGATGATTCGGTACATGCAGTTCACAGCCCGATCGTCGAAGGATGATTCGGTACATGCAGTTCACCGCTCGATCATCGAAGGATGATTCGGTACATTGTGTGCAACTTCAATGGGTGCCGAATGAGGCTATAACATTACTTGTGTACTGCACTAAATTCATAGAGTCTAGGCCAACATACGTTGTAGTACCATTCATGCACCCGAAATGGAAATCTATATATTAAGAGCGATCTATATATTAAGAGACAAGTGGTGGCTCTCCTTCACCACATGCACCCCTCTTGGTTTTCATCAAAAAACTTAAGATTGGCTGGAGTTTAAAAGGAAGCAAAAGCTTGGCCAAAACTCAAGTGGAGTTCAAAAGGAGTTCACAGGGGGTTCACAGGGCTCATTTTATTTTATTTTTACAATTCTTTGACTGAATGCACTCAAGCAGAATTCACAAGGAGTTCACAAGACTCATTTAGATTAAACTGTGTTCATAAAGACACATTACAAACCCGTTATGACATCAAGAAAATATCATAACAGTATTATAACATTATAATCTAAAATCTAATATATAATTGAATCAAATATATAATATATACTGTTACATTAATATCTTCATATTATATATTGAAATATTAATATTACAATGTAATAAAATTAATAATATTTGTATATCATTATATAGATAATACAATTATCATATATTATGATATATTAATATATTGTATATAGTATTATAATAATATTTATATAACATATTTATGTAATAATTATATATATATATATTATATGATATAATATTATGTATAGTATTATATAATATGTATTAAAATATATACATTAATATATATTAAGTATATAATATAAACCTATAATATTAGATTTATAATATATTATAATACATATATTTATAACTAATAAATAATATACATAATATATATTGCATGCATATTAAAATCGCTCTAGAAGACAAGTGGTTGTGCTCATTCACCGCATGGATTGATCTTTGTTTTCATCAAAAAAGCTCATGTTTTGTAGACTTTACTATATGTTTTACAGTTCGTCACTACATTTTGCAGTTGATCAAGGGGTTCCTTAGGATTCAAGTAGTGGTCCTTGGTAGTTGCATCAATAGGTCTTTGTTTTCATTAAAAAAGTTTGCCTTCTCTAAAGTTCATAGGACGTTCCATAGGGCATTTTACAAATGATTAAGGCATTGTATAGGATGTTTTACAAGTGATCAAGGCATTTTACAAAGAATCATAAATGGTGAGAAAGGACTTGAAGCTTTGAGAGATGCTTTAACTAGCAAACAACAACAGCTTTTCATTCACATGGCCATTGAGTCTCTTCAAATATTGCCCAAACAAAAAGTGTTTAGTAAAGAATGGATTTGTCAAGCACCCAATTATTTCAGTCTCAAAACTCACATTACAAGTAGCTTTGTGTAATGAAAATCTAAAAAAAATAGTGAAGACAAATAGTGGTTCTCATTTGCTACATAGATCTATCATTGCTAAACTTTAATTGAATGTGTAATGTTGGAGTTTAATAAAATAGAGACAAGTTTAGCAATGTGTTGTTTGTTACATGCATGCAATATAATTGAAGATGAAGTTTGGTCTTTTATATAAAAAAAGAAGGCCTAATTGCATTTTTTTTGTACTTTTTTGAAGTTGCACTTTGCAATCACAATAGGCATTTGCTGAAAGTTTTTATTTTTTATATCTGAAGTATCTATATATTGTATTAGAGCTTTTGTCAAAGAATTTGTAAGTGAAAGTATAAAGCAAGGATAAATTTATGATCTAATATAAGAAAAAAATTAATAGAACTTCAAAGATTTCAAAAACCATGCTTTCTATTCTTTTTAAATCATATTATCGAGCTTTGCATCATAAAGTGAGTGTATTTCTAAATATTTTAAAAGATTCAAAAATTTATATGTATTTGAATTGCATTGCATTTCAAAATCTTCATTGTGCTTTGTATTATAGAGTAGTACACAAAAAATTATACAAAAAAATATTCGTATAATTTTTAAAATATATAATTTTTTTATTATACTTTATATTATAAAATAAGTATATTTTTAGAAATTTAAAAGTGAGTGTATTAAGGTGAAATAGTTTGAACGTTGTATGCTTTC